TTCCATTCGAAAAAAACCATGTCTGCTTGCTTAGGGCTTCTTCCTCCCCGGCCCCCAGGGCTTTTGATGCCTGCTACTGCTTGTTGAGGAGCTCGAGGGGCCTCCGGCTAGTCGTGCCTTCAGCCATCGCTTCTCCGAACTCGGTGCTTAGCGAGGAGGCCTTTAAGGGGCTCGGCGGATTCAAGGGCTCTTCTTCTCTAGACGAAAACGAAGATGAAGAGTATCAGTTTGGAGAGGATATGTCGGAAGGGGATAAGGACGAGCTCGATGTTTCCAAGCTAGGCTTGCCGGAACAGCTTGTCGATATTCTTCAGAAACGAGGGATTACGCACCTCTTTCCCATTCAGGTAACGAGTAATTGATGCTGATTCCCTGTATTATAAAAAAATAATTTTTTTTAAAACTTGTTCGTTTTATGTTTCCTAATGTCCGCTTTTACAGAAAGTTCTTCAGTTTTTTTTTCCCCATTTCTACTCTGTAATTACGTTGTCTATGTGAAAAGTTAAGTTCTTGTCGAGTCAAGGTTTATTCTTATGCAAGAATTGCAGAAAATATGGTTATAAACTGAGGGATTCGATATTCCCAAAGATGGGAATTGTGTTAATCAATGAGTTTGATGTCCGCGGATTTTGCTAGCATCGCTTGTTAACCCATTACATTAATTGGGCAGCTTCTGCGTTTAGTAGCTTCAGAGTTCAAATTTATGATTTTAGTTGTTAACCTGTAATTTTAAACTTTATCAAGTGTTAAGATGCTAATTTATAAACATTCCAAACGGGAATATTTCTTTGATGCTAATAATTTTTGTGCTATTGTCATTATTCTTATTGTCTGGTGCTGGATGCTAATACATTGCCATGCCTGAATTTAATGATTTTCTACTCAATAAACTCGCTTCACTTCAGAGGGCTGTGTTGCTACCTGCTTTGGAAGGAAGGGACATTATTGCCCGGGCCAAAACAGGTACAGGGAAAACTTTGGCTTTTGGTATTCCTGTCATAAAGAAGCTAACTGAAGATGACAAAGGCATACGAAGGTTTGCATTAGCTGTTTTCTTTTGATTGTTAATTTATAGGGAAATTTACATACGTACCACACAATTCTTA